CAAAATCCAGTCATGTTTTCAGAGTCTCAGTTTGTTACTGCTGATAGCACTCCTATGACATGTAATCAGAGGATTCCTCACTTACTGTGGTGGAGACATTGTTACCACTGAGGTGACCCACACTTAAAGTACAAACTCCTCCGAGATCCAGAACTCTCAAAAACTACTGGTTCCTTCTGTTGGAGTATACTAACTGATGCCCTGTACCAATCTAGACACTTATATCTACAATGAGACAATATATCAATCTATTGAGTTGTCGACATTCTAAAACTTCACTACCAGGTGTATTACTACCAGGTGGGGTAAAGTATAATTTACACCCTCCAACTTTCATCAAAGTATGGATTTCAACCTCGAACTTCAAAATCGGACAACTTTGGCCCTCCAACTCTCGAAAAACTTGTGGACGGTTTTGCGGATGAACAGTAGCTTCTGATATTTTTAGGAGCGCCGAAATTTTATATTATTTTTTCGAGCATCTTAACGTCCTCAAATGAAAAAACTCAAAACTACAAAGTTGTAGATCTCATCGAGGTCTACAATTTACATACAAAAATTATCTTCATCCGACATCGTATTGAAGGGTTTTCTATTTTTTTAAATTTGAGTCTCATCACGCGATAAAATATGGTAAAATATGGTGGTGCTTGAAATTTTATATTTCGTTTTTTGAAATGATCTTTGAGTTCACAGTGAAAAATTAAAACTATAAAGTTGTAGTCTCATAAGTCTTGTTTATCATCTGCAATGATCTTCAGCACGACATAATTGAAGGGTTTTCTATTTTTTTAAATCGACTCAGTCTCATCAAATTGATAAAATGCTGCTGATGTGACTGAAATTTTTAAATTATTTTTTGGTATCCCTTCAATAGGATATCAAATGACTTTTTAAAATATAAAATTGTAGATTCCTCTGAGATCTACAAACTTTATAGTTTTAATTATCTTCATTTGAGGATTTACGTATTATACTCGAAAAATAATATAAAATTTCAGTCTCATCATATTTTACCATATTTTATCGCGTGATGAGACTCAAATTTAAAAAATAAAAACCCTTCAAAAATCGATGTCGATGAAGATACTGGTATCCTTCTAGACTTGATGAGATCTACAACTTTGTAGTATACTTTGAGGACGTGATGCTCGAAAAATAATATAAAATTTCGAAGGCCTCACTTAAAATATCTTACAATCCAGAGCAAACCTTTTGCAATAGCAAGTTGGAAGTTGAACTTTTTGAGAGTTGGAGGCCAAAGTTGTCCGGAAGTTCGAGGTTAAAATCCATACTTTGATGAAAATTGGAGGGTGTAAATTATACTTTACCCTACTAGGTGTATTGTTGCATACTTAATTGCTGCAAAAAAATAAAAAACAAGGGCTTGTTACTATTACTGTAGGGTTCTGAACAGCAGTGCACGTTCATAGTGCTTCATAGATCAAACCGTTGCTGCATCAAGCAAATTGAATAACAGGCACAGTATACTATTGTACCAAACTTGTATACAATCGACAGGTCCATCAAGGAGGGCGTGCCGCGCCAGTGTTTCTAGTTGAAACTAAAAATCTGTAAAAAAAATCCTTTCTTGGTTTTCCTCATTTCTTTTCTTGGGTTATGTCTGTGTTATGCCCTCGTTATTACTCCCTCACTCGTACAGCCAGCAATAGTTGGGGAAAAAATAAGCTAGGTTTTTTTTTATTGCCACTTCTTCTCAATAAGCCATGTTATAATAACTCTATATACACAACGGCTAGGACTATGGTTGTGGGCTGTTTTGTTGAGCTTAAAATCAAGCTAGCCCGGCCCAGATGGCCAGTTGGCTAGTACGGCCCAACGTGTCACCAGTTGTCTTCTCCTTTTATTAAAAAGAAAAGGCTTTCTATAGAGCTGGTAGGGCATGGCGACTACTGACTGTTCTTTCTTACCTTTGTCCAAAAAGGGTGCAACCAATTAAGTTTTACTAAATTAACATTTATGACTCTAAATATGTAACTCTAAAAATACATTCTATGATTAATGATATAATGATGTTTATTTGGTATCATAAATTTTAATACTTTTTATTAGACTTGACAAACTTAAAATTCTCTTTCTTCTAATAAAACGAGAATTGCACTATTTTTTTGGATAGAGGAGTATCCGCTAACAAAAACAACTACCACGTTCCGAGTATTTTTTTTTTTGGGAAAATGGTGTTCTTGCCCCTTACACAGATGTGCAATTGTGATTTTGCCCTCGTTTTTCTAACTTTGTGATTTTGCCCTTAACTATTACAAGTTCTTTCTTTTGCCCAAAATTTTTTGCCCATTTTTACCGTTGACCAGGGGCAAAATCGCGTTGACATGTGAACAGTTAAGGGCAAAATCACAAAGTTAGAAAAATAAGGGTAAAATCACAATTGCACATCAAAGTAGAGGCAAGAACACAAGAACTCCTTTTTTCATTTGGTTGGAGCCACAAGCCCACAAGCATCAATCATTTGGTTGGAGCCACAAGCCCACATGCATCAATCGTTTCCAATCACACGCTACATTACAAGTTAGAGGAATGAGCAAGTGCTGGCAAGAGAAAAGGCATGAATTCAAGATGATTATTCATCTGGCCCTTTTAGAAATAGCATCAACTATCTTATTTTATTTGTTTCAACGAATCTCGACTAGAGGGTAGTTTCTTTCTTGATCGATGTCTTGCACTTAGCAATTGTAAGATGCATTGACCAATGTCCATGATTAGTGTGTGACGATCCAGCCAGCATAGCGGAGGTCAATACCTAATTGTTAGTTCACAGAGTTGCATCCTGCAGATCGAGTGTAGCAGCCAACTTGGCATAAAAAAGGAGGGCATGAGCTTCAAATTAAGGTTTCAAGATGTGAGAAATCAGTACCTGAAAAAGGAAGCATGGGAATACTTCTAGCAGGTGAAGTGAGAATGAGAACGCAATTCTAGTTTAGTTTTTTGCTACAGGATTTTGGGAGTCAAGAAAGGCATCACAAAAGATCCTATGAGCATGGGAAATATTTCTTAGTACTGCAATGAAATCTAAAATGTTCATGAGTCCATAAGTAGCATCGCAAAACAAGTCTTAAGGCCTGTTTGGTTTGTTCCTAGGTTTGCTCAGCCGCAACAGTGGCAACGCCAAAACTACGGCGTTACTTTTGCTCGCCAAGCTTTTTGCAACTAGCATAGAAATTGAACTACCAGAACGTGCTCATAGTGCGGCGAGCCGCAAGTGCGGCAGCTAGCCAAACAATCGTCGTAAGTTAGGCGCAAAAGCTGTGGCACGATCATCTCCAAGTGATTAGCCCAAAAAAACTAACCAAATTTATTAATTTAGCTACTCTCTAAAAATATATTTGAGAAAAATATACTCAAATACTCCAACAGATTGTAAAACCAAGAGGTTGAATAGGTAGTGAGGTAAGCTATAAAAAAACAGAAAAGCGAATAAGATGAGGTGGACAATTACTAAATTTATTGAGTCATTTACAAAGTCTGTTGGAGACGTTTTTATTTTAATAATAACCAAATTTACCTTAAAAATGATTTTGGTAATCTCTTCGAGATGCTCTTAGGTGTAGCAAACCAAATAGACTTCTTATTTCTCGGCGTACGCGCGCCGATTGGATTATAAATTGGAATAATATTTTAGGCCACCAAATCAAATTAAATGATCTATGATCGTTTACGAGCCAGCAACATTCTCGCTTATTTCTCGTACGTCGTCGATTAGGGACCTCTCCCACTGTTTGATCGATGAAACAAGAATTATATTATATAATAGTTGGGTATCTCAACACATTATTTTTAGATGAAAGAAGAATTATATTAAACAATAGTTTGGTACATTAACATATAATAAACACTCTGGATTGCACAAATATACAGAAACTACGATGTTTTACAGTATGGATGACCACACAGGTAAACACTCGACAAAAGGCCTGAGAACAGATACCCAACGAACGATGGCCAACATTCATATAGGCGGAGTTGAGAAACTTCTTCTTTTCTGGTGTCTTTCTTTTCTTTCTGCCACCAAAAAATGAGGAAAACTGATCTGAAACTTATTCTCTCTAGTTCGTCATCGTGGGCAGATCTAACCACAATAAAACGGAGAAGAGACCGGAGAAAATTATTCTATGACAGCGACACCATCTCCGCTTTGATGTCGTCGTGCTAAAATAAAAGTCTCCATGTTATCGTACCGGTGAGGATGCTGATGCCGTAGTTGTCGCACTCATCTTCAACGGAACCGCTACGGAGAAAACGATTTCACTCTACCCTTTCGCTATTGCCGGAGAGAAAAAAGAGGAGATAAATCCCAAAACAAAGAAACTTGACCGGAAGAGACTTAACCCCAAAAACTCGACCGACTTAAAAAGAAAAACTTATTAAAAACGGTGAATTCCTGCTCCCTCTGGTGGAGGCGGGACCGGCGGCGCTCGGAGTCGCTAGACGCGAGGGCACGAAAGGGTCCTGTAATCCTGTTCCGTCGTATCTGTAGGCCAGAGAGGGAGGGAGGGGGACATGGTGGAGGCGGGAGCAGCGGCTGGAGCGACGACGCTAGGTTATTTGGATGAGGTGCGCGTCCTCTCCCAGTCCCACACTGCCAGCCGCACGCACGGCACACGGGCCGGCCGCTCCGGTCGCCGAGTCCTGCAGCCTGCTGGCACGGACAAACCGTCCTGCGGGTCCGGCCTGGCAGCCAGAGCCGTTTTTTTATTATTTCCGACCGAGCGAGCGAGCACGCGGTTCCATCACAGCGGCCTGGCTGGCTGCCTGGCTGAAAGGGCCGTGCGGGAAGCCGCCAACCACCGCGAAAGCGCCGGGGAGTCGGGCGAGCGAAGCAATCCAAGCGAACGAACCGAGGAAGAAAACAGCCGGAAAAAGAGAGAGGGCCGGAGACCGCCGGACCCAGGTCCTCGTCGGTTCGTCCCCTCCGCGGGACCGGTTCGCCGTCTCGTCCTGACCTCGCCGCCCGCCCCCCTTACCCCATGGAGGCGCTGTGGAAGCAGGCCTCCAGGCTCAAGGACCAGGTCGCTCGGCAGGTCAGTCGCGCGCTTATCCGCCTCTCGCAAATCGCGATCCATCTAAGCACCCGTAACCGTAAGGGTGGATAGTAGTTGCCGTGGGCTCTGAATCTCTGATGAGTTGTGTGGCCTGAAGGGGAGTCTATGCTAGTAGCCTAGTACGCTTAGCTTAATGCTATTTCGGTTTCTGATTTCCGCGTGCGAAGTTGCCTGCGTAGGATCTAGCTATAGGCCCTTCAGTTTTTTTCAGGTTATATAACTTATGTTGATCCTGGGAAGCGGTTGCCGAGTTGCAGTTTCGAGAGACAAAAGGCTGTGATCGAATTGGTTGACTTATAGTTTTTTTTCATTGGAAGTACCGTTCATGATTTCCTTGTCGAAATAAAGAGCAGCCTGAACTTTTATCTGCCAATTCCTGTACATTGTTGTAGTGTTTGATATGCTCGGACTGATCGGCTGCACTTTTCTGTTCAGCTGTTCCTTTGAATTTGCCTTTAACAAACTCGAAATGTTAGATCGAATCAGGGAGTTGCATTGGCTTAGGAACGCCCAAGGTAAACGTATTAGAGGGTTACAAAATTAAAGTATACTAGGAGAATACCCCGCGCTTTGCTGCGGGGATTCCAGATAATTTAAAAGAAATTAGACTATTTATATTTATAGTTATATGAATGAAACTATCTTAAATTAATTTTGGTGAATGGTTTGACACATCGATGTGGACAGCTAAATGCATGTTAGTGGATGAAGAGATAACTATCATAATTATATGTGCTAGTTGGATATAATTGCAAGTTCTGGTGAATTGTTGATGTGGATAGGTTGTATGTTGAGAGAAATCTTTAGTGGGGTTTAGCTTTATAAGAGTATAGGTGTCGGTGCGAAAAAAGACCAACAAGTAAATATTTGTCGTTTTGCCGTACGTTGTGATCGGATGTGGCCTAGCACTCAATAACACAGGCAACGTGCTCTTACGTTCAGTTTGAGTCGGTCGATGACTTTATTCCTGAGCCTAGGTGCTCGAAGTTTGTTGTGGGGTTACAAACGAGTAGGAGTATGGTGGGGGGTGTCAGAGGTCCGGTCGGACTCTGAACCGAAGGGCCGAGAGTGACGGGAACTCCTACGTGCGCTATGTATTGGAACGTATGCTCTGTGTAGCTTTAGGATGTCTAAAGCTAGCAGAGAGTGATTCGGAATGATCCGTCTGTTGTTCATCTCGTGTTGTCCGAATTGTCGGAATTGATCCTCCTCCTTTAGGAGAGAGCTCATCCCCTTTTATAGATGAAGGGGACGGCCTTTACAAGTGAGAGAGAGTGTGTGCTACCTAGTCTTGTTACCCACGCTGTCGGGTACGAGACGGTTTTGTCGGCGCCTACAATACTGTTGACGCCCTGATGCATATGGTTGGTTCCATCGTGTTCTTCTGTTATGACAAATGTCGGCGCTACCATACTGTAGGACAAATGTCGGTGCCCACAACATTGTTCATGTCCTGACATGTCTGGAAGGTTGCAAAGTACCCTTCTGACATGGCCTGACAGTACTGTGCTCTGCAGGTGTGCAGGGTACGATCCTCGGTATTACGGTTGACTTGTGCGCCTTACCTTACCTGCTCCGCCTGATTTCTCGGGTCCTCACCGAGCAGGCGTCCCCGTTCGGTCGTTCCCAGTCGGCTCCAACCGCACAGGTCGGAAAAGAACCAGCAGCAAAGGTTTGGTGTGTTCCCGGTCGGAGTCGGAAGCGAGCGTCGTCCCCTCCTTGGCCAGACCTTCCGGTCGGAGAGGCGGGTCGGAGTCGGAAGCGAGCGTCGTCTCCTCCTTGGCCAGGCCTTCCAGTCGGAGATGCGGGTCGGAGTCGGAAGTGAGCGTCGTTCCTTCCTTGGCCAGACCTTCCGGTCGGAGAGGCTGGTCGGAGTCGGAAGTGAGCGTTGTTCCCTCCTTGGCCAGGCCTTCCGGTCGGAGACTGGATTGCTCTTCCGACCTGTTGTTAGGTATCTGGGCCGGCCCAGGAGTTCCGCGTCGTCCGCAACGTCGTCTGCTGGGCTAAGCTTTTTGCTGGGAAGCAGGCCCATTAGGGACCCCGGGTTTATGAACCCGACAATAGGATAATGGCAGGTAATTGGGAACAATCAGCAGATCTAGTTCATCATGTTTTCTTTGAGATATCTATGTTGTTTGGACATGTAGATTTTAGACTTTAGTGTGATATAGGATCAGCTGGGTAAACTGATTTTGGGATTCTCAGCTGGATACCTGAATGTGATACTGAACTGCAATGCCTATTTTTGCATTTTGCAGAACTTGCTGCACATTCGCGTGCATCAAACATACCTGCTTTAAATTACATATGCAGAGCTCGAAATAGATATTCATGCCTTGAACATGTCTGCTTTTTTTCCCATTTATGGTTCTCCATACTCTTATTGATCACCTATTTCTACCACATATAACATTTGCTTCATTATTTATCTTACATTCTTACTGATTTGATTACACCAAATGAGCATAGGAAATTTATCCATTTTAAGTGTATCAAGAGTTTTACCTTTTTTAACTCGTTACAAGTGATATAACTTTATATTTATTGACACCACTTCAGGGTGTGTTCAAGCAGTTTGGCTATGGGAATTCTGATAACGCGTTTACAGATGAGTCAGAGGTTAAAATGTATCAGAGATTGGAAAAGCTTTACTTATCGACTCGTGCTGCTAAAGTATGAAGAAGGCATTTTTCTTGTCTCCTTTTCTCTTAGCTTCCTTTTAATCTGATTAAACATTGGCATCCTTGCTAGCATTTTCAAAGGGACATTGTTCGGGGCGTGGAGGGGTATATAGTCACAGGATCCAAACAAGTCGAAATAGGTAGTTCATTCATACTATCTATCAGTTATGGAGGTTTTTTAACAGTACTTGTCAGTTATATTGTTATCTAACTGATAAGCTGTGCAATCTGTATTAGGGAATAAATTGTCTGATGACAGCCAGAAATATGGTGTTGAAAACACATGTACAAGTGGTGATACTTTATCCAAAGCTGCTACATACTTCGGAAAGGCACGCTCACAGATGGAAAAGGAGCGTGGCAACTTGTTGAAAGCGTTTGGCACACAGGTCTGTGTTCGTAATGCTGGATTTGCTTTACCCTGCACACTAAATCATAATGAAATTGCAAGATTGAAATTATTTCGTTTGACTCTTCAAAATAGATTTTCCTTAGTCTGCTGATTTTCTGTGTTGTTTGCAGTTGTTAATATCTTGACTATTAAGCCATAATTGTCTTGTACATAAATATAGAAATTTTGTAAATATCTATTGATACTAATTGAAGCGTAATTTTGTTTCTCATAATTAGTACTATATTTGAAACGAAATCGAACAGTTTTTTTATATTATTTTTTAATCTTTACACAGAAATTTGTAGCCAGGGTAAATAGATTTCTGGCAAACTGACTAATAGTTCTATTCAAATTCTAGGTGGCAGAGCCACTGCGGGCAATGGTAATGGGTGCACCTTTAGAGGATGCCAGACATCTGGCCCAGAGATATGACAGAATGAGGCAAGAAGCTGAAGCACAGGTGAACATCTTTGCTAGCTTAAGCTAAGTTCCTTGCAAAGATGAAACTTTATTCATCACGATTAGAACTCATCCAGAAGACACCTTTAAGGCTGGAATTGCTACCTTTATTAAAGAGTTATTCTCAGAGTTGATAGCAACAGTCAGTCAGGACTCAGGAGCTATGTGAACTATACTGCTTCTTACTATCACTATAGCCTCATTGGTTGCGAGCTGTAAGAATCATCAGTGAAGCAATGTAATCAGCATGGCAGTATCACTATTTTTTCTCGAAAAGCAGGAAAGCTCATCATTGGATTATGTCTCTGTTTCTATTCAACATGAACCTGTAATGTTTCTCTTACCTTTCCCCCTCCCTTTTTTTGTCTCTTTTTAGGTTGTCGAAGTATCAAGACGGCAGAACAGGGTGAGGGAATCAGCTGGGAATGGAGATATGATATCTAAGTTGGAAGCCGCTGAGTACAAGCTTGAAGAACTGAAGTCAAACATGGTGGGATTAGGGAGGGAAGCTATCGCAGCAATGTCGGCTGTTGAGGCTCAGCAGCAACGGTTGACCTTACAGCGTCTTATTGCACTGGTAATCATCAATGGCACCTTGACAGAACATTTTCTTATCCTTCGAGTTCCTGTATTTCATGTTTACTAATTGTTCTTATTTTGGCTTTAAGGTTGAGGCTGAGAGAGCTTACCATCAGAGAGTTCTGGAGATACTTGACCAGTTGGAACAAGAAGTATGTATGCTACCAGCTTTATTATTTGAGCATATTTATATATTGGACTGCTCTGTTGGAATGATTTTTCTGCACTCTGAACTTCTGAAGCATACAGAATCTTTTGTATATCCATTTGACGATTATGTTCTGATTGATAGATGGTGTCTGAGCGCCAAAAAATCGAAGCACCCCCGACTCCAGCAGCTGAAAATGATATGCCACCACCACCACCACCATCTTATGATGAAGTTAATGGAGCGTTTGCATCCACTTCTGTTAATGAGTCAGTCCAATCTGTCGATTTCTTCCTTGGAGAGGTGTGACATATTTTTAATGAAGAATTATTGCACCTACTGTCCTTTTTATTAAAATCTTCAGCAAATGTACAAGCTGCTGTTGATGTCTGGGATGCTTGTCGAATATGACTTTTTTGTTCTCTGTGTTGCAGGCGCTTGATTCCTTCAAAGCTGAAAGTGAGTTTGAGCTTACCTTGTCAGCTGGTGACATTGTAATTGTCCGAAAGGTAATGTACTTTTTCACAAAATAGTTTTTTTAATCTTCTTCCATGTTGTTAATACAATTTTAGTGCTTTTTAAATGCATACCTGTAGCAGATAAACACACCACCACTTAGCTGTCATTAACTTTTTCTAAACCAAGGTTTTTTTTTTCTGTTCATCAACGTTATGGGTTATGTAAAATGTTTAATCATTTTTGCCAGCAGCTGCACTAAGCATATATGTATAATCATTTGGCCTGCATTTGTCCTCTCTTTTCTCTGAAACACAGATCTCAAGCAATGGTTGGGCAGAAGGTGAATGCAAGGGCAAAGCAGGATGGTTTCCTCATGCTTATATCGAAAGGCGAGAACGTGTTCTAGCAAGCAAAGTTCCACATATCTTTTAGGAGTTTTGGGCTGTCACATTACACGGTTTTCATTTCTATTGTTGGGAGCTGGAATAGTATCCATGTTTTCATTTCCTCTTAGTTTCCGCGATGTACTTTCGGCTCTCATGTGCATATATTAAATTTTACTCTCTTTTTTTTTAGTCTGGAGAAGATTTTGGATGTAACATATTTTTGAGAGGCCAATTGGACATTGGTTGCCTTGATATTGTGAAATAGGTGAAGTACCTGTTTTATAGATTTTGCTTTGTCAATGATAAGTGAACTTCATCTTATGTTTCTTATAGAAAAAACATGCACATTATTTTTTTTTCTGGATGAGACTATTTCACTGCTGGAGTCTCAAGGTGAAATGATCAAGTTGCATGGAATCTGAAGTTACTGCTGGATGCTTTCTTTTTTTTAAAAAAAAAAAGGAAGCTACTTCTGGAGATCCATCTGATTCTGGGAACCGGAAGACTATGGGAAATCAGCGTTGCCGTAGATGGAGGCACGGAGCTACTCTTGTTACCAATTTTTGGGTCCACTGTCTCTGACATTGGAAGCTAACGGCTTTTGTACTGGAGCGATTAAACCTAAAGTTGGTTGCCCACTGTACTGATACTGATCAATTGGGGCTCTGCTCCTCCCTCTGTCAGCAGTAATGGGCAACGTATGCGAAGGGTAGGTCAAAGCGTCCCGGCTTGCAGGGCTGTTAGGACCACCCGTATAAATAAATTGTATGCGAAGGGGTAGGTCAAAGCGTGCCGGTTTGCTCGCCAAAAAAATAAAAATAAAAAAAAGAAGAAATTGAAGCAGTTGTAGAGGGCCAGTGGCAGAAGGTTGGACTGGAACCTGGAACAAAAAGATATCTTCGGTAGAAGTGCCAATGTGACGTAAGGGCGATTGGGCTTGAAGAAAAAAAACATACCGGATTGCAGAGGGCTTTTAGGGTGTGTTTGGAGCGTTGGGCCGTTGGCCTGGCTGCGCCCCCCAGCTGCAGTGCGTGTGTTTGATGTCCATGGGCCGTCTCCTAGTCCGGCTCCCCAGATGCATTTCGGTCCCCTCGACCTGGCTCCAGGGAAACGCTCTCCCCTTCGTTTTTCTAGGGCATGGGCGCGTGCGGCTCCTCTCGGGCGATTCGTGGCGGCGGCGGCTGGCTCGCGCGGAAACTGTGAAACCTCCGCGCGCGCTTCCGCTACCGGTGAAATACGCCGCCTTTATAAGCGGCCCTCCTCGGCGAGCTCCCCTCTTTCGTCTCCATTGCTTGTCCACCAAATCTCGTGAGAGACCGACGGTGTGTTGAGGTGTGGTGTCCGGTGAGGCAGCGTTCTTCCCCGGCGGGCTTCCTCTCCGTTCCCCCGGCCCGGATCTGGTCGGACGCGGCGCCGCACCTTGTTCCTAGCTGGGACTCCGGGAGGCGGTCGTCTTCTTCCTTCGTCTTCCTCGGTTCCGGTGGTGCGCGTGGTGGTGTTGTGTACCGGATCTGCTTCCTCTCCGTCGGGATCTGCTTCTTCTTCATCACCTCGTCTTCTTCTTCTCCGTTGTTCGCTTCGCGTTTGCTCCGTCCACCACCCCAAGGTGAAATCCACCCCAATGGACGTACTCTTTGATTTGGATGATGCTAGGGGTTCGTTGTACTTGTACAAGGTGCTGTCTTTGCGGCTTATCTAAACTTTTGGTGCCGGTTGCTTTGTTATGCGATGTTGGATTTAGGGTTTGCCTTCAACTGTTATTACTGTTCTTACTTCATTATGGTTTCATGCTGTTTGTTTACCTGTTATTATGGTCGATGATGATGTCCATTGCACTAGGAGGCATGTTCTATCATGCAACCGTGCCTACTTTTATTGTTGAATGATTATACATCCATGTTGAGGCCAGCCAGGGTCAATTGAACTGTGTTTGTCTTGAATGTTCATGCATGTAGATGGATCAGGCCCAAAACCGTGAACTGATGGCCAATCAAGTTGCTGCCTTGGTAGTTGTTATGGTGTCTTATGTTGTCACTAGGCTTAGGAGGTTTAGGCCAGAACCAGACCCACTATTATATCATCTTAGGAGTGATGCTAAGCAGCATAGGAAGCAAACCCTACAAGCCATTTACAACTCTACAGATGCAGAGTGTCTGTCCATCTAGAGCTCCTTTTTATGCTTTGTGTAACTGAAAGCTCTAGTTTTGTTTTGGTGAATTGATAAAACCCTAAGTGCTAACCTAGTTTATCAAAGTGATTATGAGATAGGTGGCACTATTCCAAGTGATGAAGAAATTATGAAGATCATGATGATGGTGATGCCATGGTGATGATCAAGCGCTTGGACTTGAAAAGAAGAAAGAGAAAAATAAAAGGCTCAAGGCAAATGTATAAATGGTAGGAGCTATTTTGTTTTGGTGATCAAGACACTTAGAGAGTGTGATCACATTTAGATTCGATAGCCGTACTATTAAGAGGGGTGAAACTCGTATCAAAATGCGGTTATCAAAGTGCCACTAGATGCTCTAACTCATTGCATATGCATTTAGGATCTAGTGGAGTGCTAACACCCTTGAAAATATTTGTGAAAATATGCTAACACATGTGCACAAGGTGATACACTTGGTGGTTGGCATATTTGAGCAAGGGTTAGGAACTTCACCGGTGATACAGAAAAGACGAAGGTCACTGTGAGTGACCAGACGATAGTCTCGGAAGGACCGGCGCGTCCGGTCTATAAAAGCAGCGAAGACGCTGGCGTCGGTCCATGACCGGACACTGGGTCACTTGGTGACCGGACGCTGAAGGGGTGCATCCGGTCCTGCTGACGTGGTAGTGCACAGGGGAGACGCAGAGTGACCGAACGCTGGGTGAGTCCGATCGAGCATGACCGGACGCATCCGGTCGTGATTTCTCGCTTCTGGATGCTTACTGGAAACGACTGGACGCTGAGGTCTAGCGTCCGGTCACTTCGCAGCAGCGTGTTCGGTCATCTCTTGACCGTTGGGATCGGGCGCTTAGTATTTGAAGAGAGGGGACACGTGGCGTGCATCGCACGACCGGACGCTGGGGTCCTACGTTCGGTCAATATGACCGGAGCGTCCGGTCACCCCGTGTTGTGCCCAGTGAAGGGGTACAACGGCTCTATTTCGTGGGGGCTTCTATTTAAGCCCCATGGCCGGCTCAAGCTCACCCTCTTGGCCATTTTGAATTGACATAGCAACCTTGTGAGCTTAGCCAAAGCCCTCCCACTCATCTCCATCATAGATTCATCATCTTTGTGAGATTAGGAGTGAATCCAAGTGCATTGCTTGAGTGTTTGCATCTAGAGGCACTTGGTGTTCGTGTTTCGCTGTGAGATTCGCTTGTTACTCTTGGTGGTTGCCGCCACCTAGACGGCTTGGAGTAGCGAGGATCATCGAGCGGAGGTTGGTGATTGTCTCTGGCTCCGATCGTGGTGATTGTGAGGGGTTCTTGACCTTTCCCCGGCGGAGAGCCAAAAGGTACTCTAGTGAATTGCTCGTGGCTTGTGTGATCCTCATCTTGTGTTGGTTGTGCGGCACCCTATTGAGGGTTTGGCATGTGATGCCAATTAGCGCGTGAACCTCCAAGTGAGTGAATCGCCACAACGAGGACTAGCTTGCTGGCAAGCAAGTGAACATCGGTAAAAAAAATCATTGTGTTATCATTTAATTCCGAGGTGGTTGGTATTCATTGGTATTCATCCTTGTGATTGATTGGTTCACTCCTCGACACGGCGGTATAACTATCTTGCTCTCTCTCTCTCTCTTTACATTACCGCAAACTAGTTGTCAAACTCTTTAGTGTAACTAGTTGTGAGAGATTGTTAGTTTGGTTAGTGTGGCTCTTTAGTTAGCTTTTGAGAGCACACTAACTTAGTGTAGTGTCATAGCTATTGTGTGGATAGAAACTATAAAAACTAGAATTGTAGTAGGTGGCTTGCATTTTTAGTAGGCTAGTGCAACATTTGCTTCGCCTCACAATTGTCTAACCGGTTTGTTAAGTGTTGTTGTAGAAATTTTTAATAGGCTATTCACCCCACCCTCTAGCCATTAGGACCTTTCAGTAACCTGTTTAGAAATAGAGGCCTTGTACTAGAAAAGGCTGGATGCACAGTTGAGGAGCAGGTTACTATGTTCCTCCATATAGTTGGACACAACCAAAGGTTTAGGGTGGTTCACCAATCCTTTAGGAGGTCAATTAAGACTGTCCATAGGCACTTCCACCAGGTTTTGTATGATGTTGGTGAGCTTAGAAGTGAAATGATTAAGCCTCCTGAAAGCTCTAGTTTGATTTTAGTGAATTGATGAAACCCTAAGTGCTAACCTAGTTTATTAAAGTGATTATGAGATAGGTAGCACTACTCCAAGTGATAAAAAAATAAAGATCATGACATGATGATGATGATGGCATGGTGATGATCAAATGCTTGGACTTGAAAAAGAAGAAAGAAAAACAAAAAACTCAAGGCAAAGATGAAATTGTTAGGAGCTTTTTGGTTTAGTGATCGAAATACTTAGAGAGTGTGATCACATTTAGGATCGATAGCCGTACTATTAAGAGGGGTGAAACTCGTATCAAAATGTGGTTATCAAAGTACCACTAGATGCTCTAACTCATTGCATATGCATTTAGGATCTAATGGAAAGCTAACATCCTCAAAAATGTTTGTGAAAATATGCTAACACATGCACAAAGGTGATACACATTGTGTTTAGCACTTGGGAGCAAGGGTTCGAAACTTCACCGGTGGAGTAATGACAGCTAAGTACAGAAAAGACAGGGTTTCACAGAGTGCACAGATCAATGGACAACGCTGGGTCTCAAGTCCGGTCGATGGCGCAGACTGATGAAGGCCACCCTCGGTCTCTTGAATGAACACCGCGTGGAGTAATGAACACTGTTCGGCGTCTGGTCATGATGATGTGGCAGCGCACAGAGGAGACGGTGAGTGACCGGATGCTGGTTGAGTCTGGTCGGGCATGACCGGACACGTCCGATTCACGAGTGGTACCATACTAGAAGTGACCGGATGCTGAGGATCCTGCGTCCAGTCATACACCGTAGTACGTCCGGTCACAACTTAAATGTACCGATGACCGTTGAAATCGGGCGATCAACGTTTGAAGCAGGGAACACGTGCGCGTGCATCGCGCGATCGGACACTGGGGTCCTATGTCCGGTCGATTTGACCAGCATGTCCGGTTGCTCTGACTTTTCAGAGAATAGAGAGCCAATAGCTCT